GTACTGTACCAGTTGTTGGGTATACTCTGTGAAAGAAGTAGATCTTTCTTGTCTTGTATACAGAGAGACCTTGAAAACACTGACCTTCGGAAGATTATAATTTATTGAAGATGATATACATTAAGTAAAAAATCATATAATTAAATATGTTTGTGACAGATATACTGTGACATAATATAAGGTATTGTCAGAACATAACAGAAATACGTAATTTTAATTGGCAACAGGAAAGGATAAATATATCCTCTAAGGATATATTTAAATTAAAATCTGAAAAATGAATAAAAATTGGCTAGGCAAAAAGTGAGAAACATTTTATCCTATGAAAATATATCTGAGACAAGAAAGATTGTTGGGGGGGCTCCTGGGTGGCTCAGTGGGTTAAGCCTCTGCTTTGGCTCACGTCATGATCCCAGCGTCCTGGGATCGAGCCCCGCATTGGGCACTCTGCTCAGTGAGGAGCCTGCTTCCCCCCTCCCTCTCTCTGCCTGCCTCTCTGCCTGATCTCTTGTGATCTCTGTCAAATAAATAAATAAAATCTTAAAAAAAAAAGATTGTTGGAACAAATAGTATTTCTGTAATTAAACTAATAAAATTTTATCGATACTGAGTATAATTTCTTGTTTTATATATAAGAGATCAAGATCTTCCCAACCCAGATCTTGATTGTAAGTGCAGAGGCATTGTCAACTCACTTCAGAGGGTGTTCTCTTGACTGGTGAACACTCCACTTGAATTCTCAGCTTATTCTGTATCAGAGGTCATCCAGTCCTCAGATCATTGGAGCATCCTGCATACAACATCCCAGTAGAACAAACTGAAGTCCTACTGATGCCTTTCAGATATTGGTGCCTTAAAAAACTGCCTAGTTCAGAGATGGGGCAAGATGGAGCTCCGCTTCTCCACTGAGACATTCCTGAAGTCAGTGGTCTCATTTTCTGTGTGTGGTAGGGAGAAAAATTTTAAGCATTGGTTTAAAACCTTTTGTTCTTTTATTTCTCTGAAACTTTAGGCGTAAAATGTTATATCCCACCATGTTACCAATGTAGAGCCTAGTAAATTTTGACTTGACTGAAACAGAACTTTGTGTAGTCTTGTTAATCATCTGTATGATTGTTTCTTTTATGATCACGATACTCTTTCACAGTTCACAGTTCTACTGCTACTGTGAAGTAGTGTGAACTAGTCACCTGCACATACAACATAGCATATGGGTATGTATTGCAGGACTACATGGGCTTCCAGAGTAACCTAAGCATCTGCTTAGACTAGGCTGAGGTTGGGTGAACATCAGAAAGAACCCAGGTCTCTGGATGTGTGTCATAAACATGACAACATCATATTGCTGCAGTCCAAACTATGTTAAACACAGAGAAGATTTGGTAACTAATATTTTGAATCCATCTCTTTTGGTCTATGTGTTTTGAGACTTTGCTTTATAAAAAGCACTATAATAAATATGAGGCAATTAGAGAAATTAAAAACCTAGTCTCCACCCACAAACAGTTCACAATCTAGTTGAAACAATAAAAGAAAATGAATCCAAATCATTCTAATACAAAATTGACTTTTTGCCCAAATGATCTACATAATCTGAAGAGCTAAAGATCTATCCATAATGTATAAGGAATTTCACTGGGGTGTTGTTAGAAATAACAAAAGCCTGGAAACAATTTAACCCTTGAACATCAAGAGACTGAGTAAATAAACCATGATACATCTATATATTGGGGAACTAGCCACTCATTTAATCAAAGAAGGTAAAGATTTACCTTTATGCACTTTCATGGAAATTATTCCAAGAGCGTTTTTTTGAAATTTTGTATTTATTTTTTTTCAAGAGCATTTTTTTTAAGAAAGACACAAGGGACAGGACAATATGTATTGCCCTCATTTCTAAGAAAAAGAGATATATATTCATTATACATGTACATGTTTATATATGCGTATAAAATTTCTAGTGGAATACATAGTTAACTATTAAAAGTTACTGCCTCTAATATGGATAACTGGCATCTGAAGTCATAAAGACACTTCCTTTTTCATTATAGCTTTATATTTCTGTACTATTTGAATTTTTAACATGATTGTAAAATGCTCTTCAAAAAGGAAAATATTAAGTAACTGTGTAATTATAAACATTCCCTTTTATTCTCTGCAGTAGAATCAATCTTACTTCCTAAAAGAGTTAATTTTCTTAATTCTTCCTTCATGTTAGAAAAAAGGTAAAACAGTCCAGAATATGATATTTACATTGCCTCTGGTCTAAATCAACAATATTGGAAAGTCTTTGATTCACATAGTCTGACTTGGTGTACAAATGCTAGAAATGCAATGAATGAATTGAGTGTAGATATAATCAAGGGGTAAGAAAAACCAGTCTGCTTATCACCCACCAATATAATTCCTTCCAGACCTTTACTTTGGACTTCCTCCCTTTGCAGACCATAGAAAGAGCAAAATAACTGATTTTAGTTTTACCCCTTTTGTCACTTCTCTCCTTTCTATTGCCGAAATGCACAGAAGGAGAGAGAAAGAAAAAGAAGGGAGGTGGTAGAAAGGATTAGAAAATCTCTATTCTGGACACTGTTTCCTGAGTGACATCCAAATGAAAAGTCTTGGATGATGATCTTTTGAGCACTACGACTCGATGCGTACTAACCAGGCCTTCTCAGTTTGGGATTTTCAGGGCATCAGAATGTTATGATGTTATAATGCTTTTTTCCTCCTCCTAATACATTAATATTCCATAAAGCATATAATGACTCCTTAAAGAATAAGCAAAGCCAAAGCTAGGCCATTATTTCACATATAAAGTTTCCTTTACTGGAGTAAATTTGGAATACAGATTTAGAGCTTATCCCTCTTATTTTTCATTTTTACAAATTCATTACCCACCATGTGCCAGGAATTGTCCAAGACCTTGGGAAAAAGAAAGAAAAAAAAAAAAGATTCATTCTGGGAACATTATAACAAGAAAGACATTCACATAAATAGTAACTGCAGAGGTGCAAAAACGGAAGTGAGAACAAGGCATAGATATGATCCCAGAGCATGATTGTGGTCAGTGAGGGCTATTGGAGAAAACAGGTAGGAGAGAGGGTTCAAGTCATGCTGCTTTGAAATTGCCAAAGTTTGGTATGAAAGTTCATCTCTCGTTATGTCCTTTGCAGGTATTGTGGTCAATAAACCTAAAGATGGAATGTCCTGGCCGGTGATTGTAGCAGCTTTGCTCTCTTTCTGCATAGCGCTGTTTGGTCTCGGAGTGAGAAGGTGGTGCCAGTACCAGAAGGAAATGTGAGTATAATCCTGAATTTGCAGGAACAGAGATAGTCTTTCAGTACAACATATTCACTCAGCACTTTGTTTTGATTTAAAGATTTTATTTCTTTATTTGACAGAGACAGAGAGAGAGCACAAGTAGGCAGAGTGGCAGGCAGAGGGAGAGGGAGAAACAGGCTCCCCGCTGAGCAGGGATCATCTCTCCCGCAATCCTAGGACCCTGGGATCATGACCTGAGCTGAAGGCAGACGCTTAATCAACTGAGTCACCCAGGTATCCCTCACTCAGCACTTTAAGTATCACTCGTATATGGCATTCTCATATAGAACTGAGGAAAAGAGGCTCAGAGAAGCTCAGAGAAGCTCCCCAGCTTGCCCAGCACCACCGAGCTGGGATGAGTTGTGCAACTTCTGCCTTGGTGTCCCCTTCTCCCTGCTCAGTCAGTGACACTCGTCAGATGGAGCAAGTCAGTGGGCATGAAATGAGAATGGAGCCTTGCCTCACCTCAAACACTAAAACTGATTTTTCTTTTAATCTTCATTACTTTTTCATTTTCATGCATCTCTGAACTGCCTGGGCCCAGCTGGACCCAGATGCTCAAGTGTGAAATTGAGTGAGAAAGGTAATTTTAAGAAACCCCAGCTGCTTTCAGCAGAATGGACTTTTACCATCTTTTTTCTTTTTCCCCAAGGACAAAAGAAAGTAAACAGTGGGTTACCCCTCTTTTGTCTTATTGAATATCTTCCAAGAATCTTTTCCCTCCACTCCACCATCTGAAATGACATGTCAGATTAAGCCTCACTTTTCTGACTTGGCTCTTTTGGATCCAGAGTAGACCATGATTAGAGGAGACCCCTACAACATACAGAGATGTTCTCCCACTCCTACTGCTACTGTCTAAAATGCCAATGACCACTGTGTGGTACCTTCTACTTAAACTGTCCTTGAAGACTCTATATCCATGTGTGGCAAGTGTTTCCTGGTGAAAAACAAAACACTAAACCAGTAGTCAGGAATTCTGGACTCTTGTCCAAGCACTACACTTTGGCTACCATATGACCTTGACGACTTCCTAATTTCCCTGAAACAACAGAAGTGCAAATTTCTTAGAATTTTATCTACCTGTTGAAATATATTATCTGCATCAAAGCATCAGAAAAAACAGGTAATAGGCATTAGATATTTTTATTAAAAGAAGAAAGCGGGAATCTGAAATTTTGAATTGATTCTTTTTATTATTCTGTAATCCAATATTTGTGTTATATAGAGATGAGAATCTCTCTCTCTCTCTCTCCTTCTCCATGTCCATGTCCATCTCTATCTCTATACCACAGCAGGGGGTTACAGATTTGAGTCAAGGACAAAAATCTGTCCACAGATGAATTTCTGTGTCTTGATATCAAGAGAGCTGGAGAATTTGTACAGCTAAATCCCAAATTCAGACGTATGCCTAATGCATTTCAAAGAGTTGTGCTAACATAGAACAGTACTTTTGATATAAAGATGACTTTAAGAATGTTCACTGATTCAGGGGCACCTGGGTGGCTCAGTGGGTTAAAGCCTCTACCTTCGGCTCGGGTCGTGATCTCAGGGTCCTGGGATCGAGCCCCACATGGGGCTCTCTGCTCAGTGGGGAGCCTGCTTCTCCCTCTCTCTCTGCCTGCCTCTCTGCCTACTTGTGATCTCAGTCTATCAAATTAAAAAAAAAAAAAAAGAATGTTCACTGATTCAAATGTAAGGGATTCTGACATTAACCACCCAGTATCAACCAATACAAGGATTCCGTAGAGCCTTTCTTCCCATCTCAGCCCTATCCTCACAGTGCACAGTGACTGTGTGGGTGAAGGCGGGGGTAAGGTTGGCAAAGGGATTATTTGAAAACCTTCAGTCGTTAGTCCCAGAATTTAAAGATTTTGTCTCTGGAGGAGTATTTTAACCCACATAAGAGAAACACTTCTTCTATTAGGAGGCAGTTTCCATGGAGAATATGGGTTCTGGTCAAAAGACCAGAATCGCTTGTCTGGTTCTCTTTACCAAGTTGCTGAAGACCTCTGAGCCTCAGTAGAATGATGACAATAATGTCCAATCCCTAGATGCAAATTAAATAATGTTATGATAAAAATGCTTCGCAAACTATATAATACCTATAATACCTATTAATGCTATTATAATGTGGCTAATAAACAGAAGGAAAAATTCTGAGGGAACTGGTGGGGATGTCTCTTTCTCTGTGTCCTATTTTCCTATATCCCTGAATCACCACCTCACATTCCTAGCGTTGAAAGAGCAATGTTTTGTTCCTAGCATGGAAAGACCCCCGCCTTTCAAGCCACCTCCACCTCCCATCAAGTACACTTGCATTCAAGAGTCCACGGGAAATGATCTGCCTTGTCACGAGATGGAGACGCTCTAAGAGCCGCTTGAGACTTGCTACATAGAACTCTGCTAGAATCCTTCGAGAAGCTGGATATTGTGCTTTATTAACATAATTGCCCTCTAGCCGAGCCTTTACTGCAGCTGCAGTGGATGTCATAAGTGAGTGACCTGTTTTCCCAGCAACTCAGCCCCTTTCATCTGCATGCCTGAAACTGAGCAAGAATGAGGCGCAGTCATGCTCATACCCCATGCTATCTGTAAGAATGTTCTTGCTTATGTAAGAAGTGCAAATGAGGCTGCTGTTATTAAAAAAGTACTTGCAGTGTTTTTATTTTTCATTTTAGTTCACTGACTGAGGTGACGACAGTGGTTTCAAGCATATGTCCACGCCAGATCCTCTTCCTTTTGGGCATCTGCCAACATTCTGAACTATTTGCCAAAAGTATGATCATCCCTGAGGTTTGTTGCATTCCCTAGGAAAATTACAAAAAGAAGAAAATGTGAAAGTTCTAGAAAGAGTTCCAAATAAGTGCAAGTAGTCCTCGTACGGAAAATATTTTGCTTATTTTCACTAGAGGGAATCATAATACCTTGCACAAGATGCCAGTCCCAGTCCCCCTTCCTCCCACCATGTTCTGCCCAGCCTCCTGCCCCATGGATTGAGGAGGGATCAAAGGGAAACCTGGCCAGCAACCAAGTAGCCTCAAAGATATAGGGAACACTTCATTGGCCTCTAAAATGATATGAACTAAGAGTGGTCTGGTCTCATCCTCAGCTTTTACCTGTGTGTGTGTGTATGTGTGTGTGTGTGCACTTGCACACGTGTGCATGCGTGTGTTTGTGCATGCATAGGTACATCAAACTATTACATGAGTAAACAGGCACCCTAACCCCAATCCAATTTCTGCAAATCCTATTATTCTCATTTTCTTCTGGGAACTCTCCTGTTCATCCAGTCTGCATGTTTTTATCTGTCTTAAGATAAATACAGGCTCAAATCATACTAGCGTTGTTGAATTAATCCTGTCCCTACCACTCTTTTATAAAATAGTTCAGATAGAACGTATAGGTAATGGAAAAGAAACCTAGTTAGCCACACCTGTTCTGTATTCAACAAGAGTTCCTGAGTGAGTAAATTACTGATGCTCCTTGTTCTTCTAAACCACCCAAACACCCTACCCTCAGAAGGAGCAACAGATGTTGCTATCAGATATGACAGGCAAATGCTGTGTGGACTTTAGTCTCAAAAGGAACATTTAGTTCATTTGCAGTGTACTTATCCCTGACCGCATATGAGAATAACTTGGAAAGTTTTTTTAAACACCAGAGCTGTCCCACTCCAAAACAATAAAATCAGAATCCCTGTGGAGTGAGACCGAGGCGTTCGCACTTCCGGGTGATTTGAGAGTTCAGCCAAAGTTGAGAACTGCTGAACCAGTCAAGGTCCCTTCTCATTAATCAGAATCTTGGTTAGGTACTTATTTTTGGTGGTGACCAGCCTCTAATGTGTCCGTCATGATTCTTGCCTCTTATAAAGTCCCCACTGATACCGAATGCAACTAAGTTGTATAGCTGGCCAAGACTAGGGTAAGGCAAGGAAGACAACTATGCTATAAAATTTAAGGAGATATTCAAATCCAGGGTCATGTACTTGTACAATCTTGCGAGTACCGGTTGCTGGCCCAGTATAATCGATGATATGCAGAAGTCACCAGAGTGTGACTTCCAAGGCTAGGTCATAGGATACATGGTAGCTTCTGCATTGATCTCTCTTTGATCAGTCTCTCTGGAAAAAGCTGGTCACCATGATGTGAGGACACTCAAGCAGCCCTGTGGAGAGGGCCTCCTGTCAAGGAATAAAATCCTATTGCTAACAAGTATCAACTAGCCCACCATATGAGCGAGCCATCTTGGAAGCATGTCCTCCAGTCCCCACTCAAGCCTTTGGTTAACTGCACCTCAGCTGATCTTTTGACTGGGACCTCATAAGAGCCAGAACCACTCAGCTAACCTCTTCTGGTTTCCTGACCCACAGACACTGTGCGGGATAATAAACACTCATTATTTAACACCACTGTCTTTAGGTATAACATGTTACACAGTAATAGATAACTAATACAGCCCAATGAATGGAAAAAATAAACTAATGTTTGCCTGCCTTAATTACCCTCCATTCCTCATTAATTCTTGAGAAATAAATAAGACTAGCTTCATATGTGCCTTTGTCAAAAATAGTCGCTTTTTTTTTTTTTTGGATCCAGCAGAAGTTTTATTTTAACTGAAGAACATACGGTTGGCTTGACCAAATTAACTTTGCATTATAGGTCTTTAAAAACATTAACATTTTGCCAGGATGGGCATTAGAGGTCCTGTTACAAAAATGGAATTAAGACACTATGTGAATTTGAGTTGCCCAACATCACATAATCAGAAGGGATAGAGCCAGAATGATGGAAATCCATCTCTGATTTCCAGTCCATGGTGTGATCAATCTCCATTATATCATAATATTTCATTGCTTTGGTGTCTCTTTTTACTATAGACAAGAGATGTTTTGTGTACATTTAGGTAAATATTGATTTTTTTTTTTAATGCCCAAATTGTTGACAGAAAACAGAAAAGTAGAAATAATTGACCCCTGAGGGTAGAATAGCCAAGAAAGTGTGGGGGGAAAAAAAAAGACTAAGAAAAAGTAAAAAGAGTAATCAAGACCAGACACCAAAAGAAGTTTAGAGAATCTGACCAAGGCCAGAGATCCTGAAAGAGCATTGTCTCAGAAACTCAGAGCCAGCAAGAGGTTCTTGAAGGCAGCCCTCTAGGAGAGTTGGCTTTGACTTGCACTTGAAGATTGAATCTGCAGAAATACAGAAATTTTGTTCCCTGAGTTTTGATAACAGCAGTCGTGGCTATGTCGACCACCCAAAGCTTGAATGTCCAGCAGAGATAGGTGAAATGGTGAGTGAAAGTTACCCCCGTGGGAGAAAAAGACATTAACTGGAGAAATGGGCTGATGTTGCAAGAAGAAACACAAGATGAGATGGTGAGAGAAGGGCATTTTATTTCCCAGCTTCTGCAAAGGGGCTTTCTTCCCTGGATTCTGTGGTTATTTACAAGGCGGCATTCTGCAGCCAGGAAGCCATGACCAGAGAGAACAGGAGATTATGACCTTGGGCAAGATCAGGGACAGAGAACACCTTTGAAATGATTGAATACAATTTTTCTCCCCAACCGGCATCTCTATAGTCTTCTAACTTCTGTTACATTCTTTGCCTTGTCTGCTCACTCAGATTCCTCATGTCTGCTCAAAGGCTCTGTGAGATTGTGATTATATGGTGGCACACTGGGGAAATTAAAGGATATGAGTAACATACCCAAGATCACAACGTAAAGAAGAGAACATGGAGGTGCCTGGGTGACTCAGTCAGTTAAGCTGCTGCCTTCAGCTCAGATCATGATCCCAGGCTCCTGGGATGGAGCCCCACATTGGGCTACCTGCTCAGTGGGGAGTCTGCTTCTCCCTCTCCTCCCCAGCCCCCTGCTCACTCTTTCTCAAATAAATAAATAAAATCTTAAAAAAAAAAAAAAGCTGATCTAAAAAATATCTAAGAACCACACCCTCCATACCCTCCATGAGTGTAGAGTTTAATGGGAGAGACAGACATTTAAACAAATAAATACATGTGAAAATAAAAGTATGTATAAAGAAGAGAAACGAATAAAGAAAAGGGTATCATCTCAGAGACAGAATGTAAGAAATATTTTCAGAAGCCTTCAGAAAGGAGCCGTCAATAGAGACAAAGGCACTGAGACATAGTAACCCGACTTGAAAATCTTACCTAAGAATTATGCATACCCAGAACACAAGAAGGGTTCAATAACAGAAAATCTCTTAATATTTTGCCATATAATTAGGGCTTAGGAGGGAAAGCATACAATTAATCTTAAAAGATGAAGATGCTTAAAAGGTCTTTGGCAAAATCCAGTGCCCATTCCTAATAAAAACTCTTGAGAAAATGGTATATTGTCTTAACTATATGTTTATACATAATATGTGTGTGCATATCTGTATCTATTTATATATAACATATATACATACACTAGTGTAGTATATAGATATTATAACTAGTTATATATATATATATATACTATAGTACATACACACACATATATATATGTGCTGTAATATACACTATAGTCATTGTACATACATACTGTAACTATTCCTACAAATATAACTTTACAAATATATGTGTCCAGGGACACCTGGGTGGCTCAGTAGGTTAAGCATCTGCCTTCGCCTCAGGAGCTCAGATCATGATCTCAGGGCTCTGGGATCAAGTCCTGATTTGGACTCCTTGCTCAGCAGGGAGCCTGCTTCTCCCTCTGCCTGCGGCTCCCCCTGCCTGCTGCTCCCCCTGTTTGTGCACAAGCACTCTCTCTCTGACAAATAAATAAATAAAATCTCTCTCTCTCTCTCTATATATATATATGTGTGTGTGTGTGTGTGTGTGTGTGTGTTTGTGTGTGTGTCCAGATACAATGAAAGCAAAGATGGATACATTTGACTACTTAAAAATAAAAGCAGTTTGCATGGCAAAAAAGCAAAGTCAAAGGCAAATGATAAACTAGGTGAAAATACTCACATCATATATTACAGATAAAAGCTGATAAAGAACTTACAAAGAAGATAAATAAGCTTTCAAAACCTATGGAGGGGAACCTGGGTGGCTCAGTCAGTTAAGTGTCTGCCTTCAGCTCAAGTCATAATCCTAGGGTCCTAGGATCCAGCCCCACCTCACGCTCCCTGCTCAGTGAGGAACCTGCTTCTCCCTCTATCTGCTGCTCCCCCTGCTTGTGTGCGCGCACTCTCTCTCTCTCTGGCAAATAAACAAAATCTCATAAAAAATAAAAATAACTCTTAAAACACTTGAAAAAAATTCAATCATTAATATTAAAAGAAATGCACATTAAAACTTCACTAAGACATCATTTCTTCCTCATCCACTTGTGAAGAATTTCAAACCTTTGACAACGTGTTCTGTTATCAAGGCCATGGGGAAACAGTTACCCTCATATGTTTGTTGAAAGGAATGCAAGATGACACAATCACTATGAAGAGGAGTTTGACAATATCTAATAAAACTGCATATTACATTATCCTTTGACCTAGTAATTTCTCCTCAGGAATTTGCCCTGAAGCTCTACCTCCAACACTATATGCACAAAGTTATTCTTGGCAGCATAATTTGTAATTGCCAAGTATTGAGAACTATCCAGACGTCCAAACATAGGAGATTGGTCGAATAAACTACAGTAAGTACAGCCGTCAAAATAGGAAATAGACTGTACAGCCGTCAAAATAGGAAAGAAAAAAGTCTCCATTGACTGGTATGGAGTGATTTCCAGGAGATAGTATTAAGAAGGAAAAGCAAAGCAAAGTACAAAGACTATAGAATATGCTACCAGTGTAAGA